GTAAAAATAAAATATATTTATCATCCTCCCCTTTTGGAATTGTTTCCTGTGTATAAGATGTGCCGCTACAGCCTAAGGAATTCAGAAGTGTGGGTTCGAAATCTTTAAAAAATGGAGTAAGGTCCTTTGTTTTTTCTAATCGCAATGTTGGTGATTTCACGCTTGCTAATGCACATTAATATATAGTAAGATCTCATTTGACTATGTATATTTTCTTTCCAACATATGAATCACAAAAAACAATCAAAGGAATGTGCACAAATGTTTCAATTAAAAAAGAATGTAAGAACGAAATGGAAGTATAAATTAAATTTTACGGAGTAATAGATACATTCAAATTTGGATTACAATAGATAACCACAAATAACTTAATACTATTAAAAAAAAAAGGTCTACAAAAACATTTGGATTTTCTTATAGGGCTAGCAAAACAGATCAGGTTAGGTTGGGTTTGTATTTGGGTCAGTTCAAATTCGGGGCGAAAACCCCTAAATTGAATCTGACCCATTTAACTTTTTGGGTAATAAAGATCAACCCTAACTTGTTTTTTTCGGGTTTGGGTCAACCCGAAATTGACCTGGTTTTTTTGGGTCATTAATTTTTCAATTTTGAGTTAGTTTAAAATAATAAAATTTTAGATCTAATGTTTCCCTTTTCATTTTTAAATATTAACATCTTAATTTTATATAAAATATCATTGGTAAAATAATGAAATTAATGTAGGGTTTTAGGTACTTTAATGCGGAATTTCACGAATCATATTCGTTCGCACCTAAATAGGATCTACAAGCATAACTCATAAAGAATCACATAATCATACCTTTGACGCGTGATTTCCACAAGCGATTGACTGTCAATTAGGGAGATAACAGAGCCCCAAGCGTTGCTCCTCTACTTAATCCACGGGATAGGATTGAACCTCCACTATTGCTAGGTAGTTGGGCACGAACACTTCGAACCACCTTCTATGGAAAGGGGAGGAGGAAACTGACCATGAACACCACCACACCACCGTGCGCCACCTTGCACTGGGGGGTCGTACAGTTTTGGATGGGAGGAAGGGAGTAAGGAGAGAGATTGTGTGAGGCTAGGGTTTGGTTGCTCACTAAGTCACTAGTCAATTCTCAATTGACTGGTTAAGTGTGTTATCTCAAACCCTAGGCAAGGCCTCTATTTATACATTATATGTATAATTAGAGTCTAAACCAAGTCCAAACTATTCCCTCTTCAATCCCATATGGCCGACACTCCATGAGGCCCAATAATGGGCTTCTTTCTTTTGTTCAATCCATCACCATTTTGTGTGACCTTATAGGATCCATTGTTTTGTGCTTTGGACTATTTGACTAACCCAAAGATCATAGATCACGTCTAGCAACAGACAATGATGACCCAAAAGAACAAACTTAATTATCTCCATAATTTGATCCATTATATATCTAGTAATTGCACTTGACGAAGACATAAATTCTTCAATTAATACCATTAACAAATTAAAATGTAGATCATAACTATATAAGCTATAGTACAAAACAATACATAAGGTTGATCTAAAATAAAATGAAATACGATGTGTCTCCAAGTTAATTATTTGCTAAAATATCCTTTAGTTATACTTCAGTTGTTAACCTCCTGCCTCTTGGCACTGAAATTGAATAATACAAAATTACAAATACAAAAGAATATAAACAATTTATGGTTCTCGTTGCTAGATCAGTTAAGGGGCAGTGAAGCAACGATGAGGTAAGTCTGGTGAAGCAAAAAGAGAGCAACAATTGAAAGTGGTGGAGAAACGCCAAACAAAAATTAATGGTTGAGGTAAATCACTGTCATTGAGGAGATTAATCAGAGAGAAAGGGATGAAGAAAGAGAGGATGAAAAATTGGAAAAAAAAAAGTTTGAAAGAGGCTATTATTTATACTTAGGGTTGGGTGTGCAGAGGGTTAGGAGTAGTTGGAGTTTGTGTAGTTGGGTCTAAAGCACACTTGCCTTACAAGTTGTGTAGTTGGTTGGCAGCCCTTTAAATATAGTTAGGGTTATATGGGTTATTTTGGATTGAAATTCTCAACCTTAACCTCAGGGTCGGAACCAGAAATTATTTATTAAGGGGGCCAAACTTAATATACTACGTAAGTATTGCAAGGGAAAATAAAAAATAAAAGTATAAAAAGTGCAAAGTAAAATAAAAAATAAAAGTGTTGGGAGCGAGACTTGGGACTAGGTTTCGAACCAGAAATGAAAATAAACTTCATTTCCAACTAAAACCAACTGAGCTAACAATAACTACCATAATATATTGCAACATTTAATACATATTTTATACCAAGGGGGAGGCCATGGCCCACCCCAGCCCCCCTTGGTTCCGCCACTGCTTAACCTAACCCATTTAATTTTAGGTCAAGTTTATGCTGATCTATTTAAGATTTCGGGTTGAAAATCTTTAACTTTAACCCGCTATTTTCAGGTCGGATTTGGGTTGTGTTTTCGGGCCACGTTTACTTTTGCCAGTCCTATTTTCATGTACTTTGGAGAAGAAAGTCAGGGACAATAAATAATTAGGGGAAAAAAAATTAAAAGGCTTAAAAGTTAAAACTAATGTATTTGGAATCGAACTCTTAACTTGGTAGCCTAAGCCTTAAGGCGCACAAACCTAGATACTCCTTCAGTTATGCAAACAAAATTGTTGTTCCTTCTCTTTTTAATACTTGTTCTATTTCTCCACGCGCGGAGTTGTAGGAGAAATTGGAGAAAACAATAAATTATGGATGTAGGACATGTTCACATTTACTGAACTGAGTTGAACTGAAGTGAACTGATTGAAGCTGAACTGAACTCAACTAATTGGAGCTGAACTGAAATGAACTAAACTGAGCTGAAATTAATATTTTATGAGAGAAGGAAATTAGGAGCTGAATTGAATTGAATTAAATTGATTGGAGCTGAACTGAACTGATTGCAGCTGAATTGAACAAAACTGAACTGAAATTAAGTAAATGTGAACATGCCCGTAGTGGGTTTGGTGGAAGAATAAAAAATTATAAAAAAAACCAAAAGTAGTGGAGAGAATTGAAGTAGAGAGGATATGGAATTAATATTGTTTAGCCCACTTGGTGAGAGAAATTAATTAAACATTGTAAAAGCTTTTCAAATAAGGAAATGGAGCAAGTAGTTAAAAAACAACCGAAAAAAAAAAGTATTATATTACATATTGGGAAATTCTCACTGGTGAACTTCAATTACTTAATTTTACAAGTAGTAAACATTCTTAAAATTTATTGTCAATGGTAACCCCAAATAGAATGAATAATCAATTGGTAACCTTAATAATGATTTAATCTAATTATTTAACTATAGTTAGTTTTTTTTTTGGTAACAATAACATTTAACTATAGTTAGGTTTTAATCATTTTTTAACAATTATATTAAAATAAAATAAAAAAAATTAACCACCCATTCCCCCACCAACTGCCCAGCCCCTCCACCTCCTATCGGTGCCCGACACCCTTACCCAACCATCGGCGGTCGACGCCCCTACCCAACCATTGGCGTCGACGACTGTACTTCTCTCCCTTTCCCCCAGTTTTTCGGCCCCCCAAACCCAATAAACCCATTCGAAACCACCCTAAAAACCCAAAACCACCCTAAAATCCAAAACCCTAGAAAATGGGTAGAACGAATTTCAGGGAGGTTTCGGTTTTTAGAATGGTTTGAGGGGGTGATTAGGGTTTGGGTGTTCGAAAAACAGGAGAAGGGTAATTTCGGGGAAGGGTTGGGGCGAATTTTGGGGCGGTTTGGGGTAGAGGTGGGTGTCCGAAAAACAGGAGAGGGGTACTGTCGGCCGAGGGTGGGGGAGTTCGGGTGTTCACTGGCCGAGGGTGGGGAATTCGTGCGTCGTCGGCGGGGGCCTAGCCGCCGACAAAGGGGAGAGGCTGCTGGTTGGGTGGGGGAGGGGTTTGGTTTTTTATTTATTTATTTATAATAATTTAATTTATTAAAAAAAACTGTAGTTAAGGATTTTTATTAAAATAACACTTATCAATGGTAAGCAATAATTTAGGCTTACCATTGATAATAAAAATTAAAAACGTTTACCACTTGAAAAATGAAAAAAATTGAAATTCACCAAAGAGAATTTCCTTTACATATTTATACTTTTATTTATTTACTAGTTTTGTGCCCGTGCGATGCCCGGGTTGTTTATTAAATTTAAAGATATATTTTAATCTATATGTCAAATTTTAAAACATATCATTGATACAAAATTAGTTAGGAATTGACGTGTTTTTGTGACGATTTAAACTTGTAGACATGTAATGACAAATAATAATAATATTGGTGATTTTTTTTTTGACCTTGTCTGAAATGACTCGTGACCCGACCTGATTGACAGGTCTACACACAGTAATAAAATTATATTATATTGTGAAGTATATTATTTTAATTGATTAGAATATATTATAAATCATGGATGTGGTACATTTTGAACTAATTCCTTTGCTCCAAAAAAATATTATGATACAAAAAATAAATTTATATGATAATTTATGACAGTAATAATCTATTTTTTTTAATAAAATTATAATTCAATTTGTACATATGAAATATTGGTACTTTATCAAAAATAAAACTCTAAATTAACAATTTTATCCTAAACTTCTATCCAAATTTGATTGAAAATAAAATTCTAAACTATCTTTTTTATCCTACAAATTGAATTCTATCCTACGTGGCACGACACTTGGCGAAAAGTTGGAACGTTAAATGTCGCTATCTCGTCGCCTGACTAAAAGTTTAGCTTTATATTTTCTATCCAAATTTGATTGAAAATAAATTTCTAAACTACCTTTTTTATCCTAGAAATTGAATTCTATATAATTCTATCCTATGTGGCACGAGACTTGGCGAAAAGTTGAAACGCCAAATGTCGCTATCTCGTGGCCCGAGTAAAAGTTTAGCTTTATATATTAGTTATATGATTTATATTTTCAAAAATCGGGTTCGCACTTAAACCCACCCTAAATACTCCCCTGGCCGCAGCCTTCCCTCTCTTTCTCCTCCATTGAAGCATACTCTGAAATCTCCAGTAAAGCGGCTTCTGAGCTTTCTCTCCTCCATTGAAACAGCTTCTGAGGCACGGTACCTTCATTTTAATCAACAAATATCAATTTCATAATCAATTGCTTAATTCCACACTTTCGTTAATTTAATTTTCAGTATACTCAATTTAGGGTTCAGATGATTGAACTATTGTATATAATTACTTGAAGAATTTAAGATTTGTATACTGAAGTCAAATTTTTTTGCTAAATGTGTTGCAGTCCTCTGCCCATATACAGAAATGCCGCGAACAACCACAATCGAATGCCCAGGTTGCCCACCATTAAGAGCCCTAACTTTCGACGTACTTGGCCTTGTTAAAGGTACTAACTTTAATCTTAATTCACGTTTATTATTACCTAACAATTTATTCATTTCATGGGTGTTTTTGTATTTTTATTTTTGTTGAATAATTTCCTTACAAAATTGTCGCCATTGTTGTTCAGTAATTGAAGCTCGGAGTAAGCAAGGCGGAGTTCCTAAGGTTGTAGAGAGGTGGGGTGACCCTGATTCATCTAAAGCTATCCTCGCCGCTTCTATCAATGACCGAAAATCCAACCCTGTATGTATGAGTTTTCTATTCTTATGTGTGTGTTTGTGTTTTTATGAAGTTAATGTATTGTGATGAGCTTGTTCTTTTGGTTATTGTACTGTGTTTGCTTAAGTCTAATATTTTGTGTTATTGCTTGACAACGTCTTCTTAATGCGTTTAAGGACTGTATATTTGTTTCATTGGCTATATTTCTTGATGAAATGGAGTTTTAGACTCACAGTGCATGTTTGGGATTGTAGTTTAACTATCCTTGTCTGGGTTTAGAGTGTGTTCTATTTGTATAAGTGGAAATAATGTGAACATGAAGAGGCCTTCGCTGTTAGAGTATGAGTTCAAATTATATCATCAGTTTGACAATTAATTCAGGATGGATAAAGCTTTATTCTAATGGTGTGGCATGTCATATACTTTCTTGTCTCGTTTAACATGCTTGTATGCCTTAATTTCATAGGAAAAGTTGTTGATTTTGTATATATTATGCTACTGGCCTACTGCAATGTATCTATTCAATTGAAAAATCTTCTAAATATTGTTATTGATTGCTGCAGTTGCTAGCAGTTGCCAGGAAAAATGGTTCAGTAAGTTGCTTGCTACCCATGTCAACACCAATGTAAATGGTATCATGCATATCCTGTTTTAAGCTCATAGTTTTTTGCTGAAACGTGTACGCGGTATTGTACTATTCAGATTGAAGTTTTGAGTCCAGTTTCTGGAGAGTTGTGTTTTTCAATCTCTGATGATGGTGATGACACTCCTCCATTAGATGACCCGATTGCTGGATTGCATTTATTTAAAAAGCGGATGGTAGAGTCATCATCAAGGTAGGTCATTTTAACTCTCTGTGTATGACAGAGATAAGATCAGAAAATAAAAGTTTCTTTTTGGTTTTAAAATTTTGACCTGAGTTAGTACAGGATACAATGGGGTCACTATAGTGGTATAAAATTAATCTCTATATGTTTTATGTGTAACTAGGTCGTGCACCTTGCTTTCTTGTACAACTAAAGGGAAAGCAATCTTGAGGAGAATTGAAGATTTTGATTCACAAACTGGTTCTGTTTCTTCTGCTACTCCAGAAATGTGGAATGTGTGCAGTTCTGGTGAGATTTGCTGCTCTAAAGTACATGCTGATGAAGGCTACTCTGTGTTTGGAGGGTAAGCCTTGTGTATTCAGAACTATATTTCTTAAAAAAATATAGAAACTAAGATCTTTATGCTGTTTCATTTCATTTAAATAATGCTGAATTTTTGTTGAATGATATGCTTTAATTTCTATTATTTTGATATTTTTAGGAAAGGCATTGAAATTAACATGTGGGACCTGGAGAAGACTAGTAAGATTTGGAGTGCAAAATCTGTAAGCTAAATAATTTTACTAATTAATTCCTTCCTGAACTGCAATGTGACCTTGTTTTTCATTCTTGTCAGGCAGACATAAATTCTAATTATTGTTGTTATTCTTTTGCAGCCCCGAGCGAATAATCTTGGAATTTTTACGCCAACTTGCTTTACATCTTTGACCTTCCTAAGCAACGATGATCATCGCAAGGTTGTGGCTGGTACCAAAAACCACCAGGTAATATTAGCTGTTGGAGATTCTTGTTGTCAGTTGTTTGGAGGCATATGTAGTCCTTTTTAAGACCATGCTTTGTTTTATTAATTTTCGTACATCTGGGAGATCCTTATAATCTTATATAGCCAATTTCCTATTGAGTAGGGGGGGGGGGAGGGGTAATCAAAAAAGGTTTAATCTGCACTATTTCTTCAAAAAAGGTTTTCTCTTTGTTGACTTAGGGTCTAAAATGTCTCAACTTCTATTACTCTGGGTAAAGATGCATGAGAAATGCTCCATATCCTTTCCTAAGATCAGTCTGGATGCGTATTTGAGCTGATGGAGAGTAGCTTTAGTAATTCCCATCTAGGGATGCAAGAACTTTTTCATAGACTCAACAATCGAAATGAGTGAAACTGTCTTTGCTTGTCTGAGTGTCGCTTTCTATCAACCACTAGTGGTTTACTCTTGGCCTTGGTCACTGCATTACTTCATATATATTATTTATCTAAAATGTTGTACCCTGTGGAGACTACCTATTCTTGTTGTGGACCTTCCAGAATGTGACCCATCAAATCTCAGGGCTTAGGGCTTGTTTGGTTCACCTTATTTTTGCTAATCTGAACTAATCTGATTGGTCTGATCTAGTCTGAATGTTAAAGGTGACCAAACTTTGACCTTAAATATACGACAATCTATACGGAAGAAATATATCAAGTGGGGTCTTGTTAGATTTGTAATAATGTGTATTTTATTAACATGTGATTTCCTTAATTTTTTTCATTATGAAATTAAAGATATTTAGCGATAAAAAACTGCACATAAAACGATAATCTGATTTGAAATTATTTTTTCTGATCTGAACTTTTTTTTTTTTCTTTTCTGAAATAAATAAAATTAAGGTGAACTAAACAAAGACCTTATACAGGAATCTGCATATCAAATCCACTTGATTAGCCTTTTTTCAGAAGTTGATCTAAGTGTTAAATCTTCTTTGTCATATTTGAGAGCTGTTATTTTTAATCAGTGACTAAAGAGATACAATTATATTTTGAAGATTTTAGAGAAGTATAATAGCGAGTTTACCTTTTATTTGCATTATTTTTGTTTTACTAAATTTTAGCTTATGCACCTTTGTCTGGATAGGTTCGCCTCTACGATACATCAGCTCAGAGAAGGCCCGTGTTATCAATTGATTTCAGGGAGACACCAATTAAATCAGTTGCAGAAGATTTAGATGGACATACTATATATGTAGGGAATGGTTCTGGTGATCTGGGTTCTTTTGACATTCGTACAGGTAGTGAATTTGAACATCTTGAAATATAATTATCTTGTCTTTTTGGCGTAACATATTCACATGCCAGTGTTTGGTTGATTGATTGTATATTTGGATAAGTAGATCATATGGTTATTGTTCATATCATTGCAATTTCATTAATTCAGTCAATCACATCACTAGTGTTTTATCCTTAAGAAACTTCTCTTAATGTTGGTTCATCTCTTTTTGTAGTACATAGTTGAGCTTTTATTCCTATTTGAAAATGCTTATCTTTCTTTGTGATGCTATACATAGTTGGATCTGGGCTAAGTTGGCAAAATCTATTGCATAATTGCCAATCCTGAATACCACATTATTAATTTATTCATTAATTTTTTTTTTGGCATATTGAAGTTTTTTGTTAATACTTAAAAGGATATTATGATATAAATAATCTATACTACAATAACCAAAGCACCCAAGCAATCTCATATAGCATTAGTTTAACATTTATTGTACTGTCGAGAAAGAGTGGAATACGAGACTCCTCACTTTCTAGAGAGCAATACCTTATAAACACCAATACAGCTGTCAATATTGAAAAATCAACCTACACAATAAGAAGCTGCCTATAAATCATTGATACGGTACACAACCCTAATACATTCCCAATAGAAAGCTGGCCGATCCTTTCTTTGAGTGTTAATTCTTTGCTCATACCTGTAAATCTGAAATGATATAAACATGTTTAACAAAAACAAAAATGCCATAGAGCTGGAATATTGGAATCATCTTTTTGCAGTACTTAATTGCAATATCAATCTTTTCGTCTAATGTGAGAACATCTCTGTTAAACTTCAATAGTTGCAAAATTGCCGTTCTCAGGGCTAAACTGAAAAGCTAAAAACAGAAGAGTGATAATTTCTGGCTTTACACCACTGAAGTTACACTAGTAACACTCAGTTTTAGTTTCTGTGAAGTGAATCTGGTTTTTGAGCCATTACTTTGAAGTTTGGTACCTAAGGTGGAAATTTTGGATGCGGGGGGTAAAAATGTTGAATTGGCTCGGTTTAAATCAAACTATTAAGTACGGAGTATTTATCTTCACTTCGAATGCAACTCGATGTAAATCTTTAGTATAAGCGCATTGCTGGAAACAGCTGAGTGGGTTCCTACTTCCTACATTTTTTAATGTAACAGATGTGCATGATTTGAAAGCATGGATCTGCCCTTTCTCCATATCTCTTGGTTTTAAACTTTTAATATTCTGCTTCCTTTCTCTTTTTTGCGTGCTCACTTTAAAGCTGACACATGCTTCTCAACCTGTGAAGGGTTTTCATTCAATCAGCTTAAAAGTGAAGTTTTTAATTTTTTTATTTAAAGGGAGTGCTAGAAGATCCAATAGATAGTGTTAAGTGCTCATTTGGTTTGAAAAAGATGTGACAAGAAGATAGTGGAAGAGTTCTAGAGTGTGCAGAAGTTATTGTTCACTGGAGGCAGATTTATATAAGTCTGGTTTTCAATTGGGTGTAGATTGTTAAATAAAAAACCTTACTTTATTAAGTTGCACTGCAATCTGTTATGTGATGATGAGAGGGGCCTTGATTTAGCGAAGTGAAGGTGGTGCCTGGCCAAATACTACTTAACTTTACCTTTCCTCCCCAGAATTCTTGATCTGCATGCACCTTGGGAGGGTTATGCCACAATTTGATTTACAAAAACTTGGCAACTGCCGAGTCAATGGGCAAACATGTTGTAGCTGTTTGTGGCTCGACTTTCGTGAGCCCTCAAATCAGTCTTGAGTTGGTTTTTGGGTGGAAAAAGTTAAAGCATGATCACATGCACTTTGAAGTGCTTGTGAAGTTGTGTCCGGGTTTGTGTTTAGGCATTTTGAAGCACTTAGAGAAATCTGTGAGCATGTTCTCATTTATATGGCATATCATCAGGAGGTTATAGTGCTTTTACTCAACGAAATATGGGCAATTTAAGGGTCTGTTATCATTTTTGAAATACATTTGAGTTGATTCCCTTTCCAGTCTTGGATACCTGCCACTTCCCCTGATGATAAGCAACCAACTGGTTCACCTTAAATGATGATGGTATACAGATTTTTGTCCCTTTCGGTTTCTTTGGGCTGGTAACTTGTCTGCTAATATGAAATGATGTTGGCCAGAGGTATAAGCAGCTTATAGATTTGTAGGACATGTCAATGGCCCAACTTATTTTAATTTTTTTTTATAACTTAATGAGCACAGAACAAGTGAGCAACAATACTGAAGACTTGTTGAACTAAATTCCTACATGTTTCTTTTGCTGATAAAGGGAATAAACTTAGTTTGATGCTGTTGTTAGGGATGATATTTGCCCTTTTGAAGCTGTTAATTGAGGCTGAGTATAGTGGTTAAAAGAAGATGGGAGCAGAAAATGGCATGGTTCTGATATGAGTGAAATCCCAACTTCTTATGTGGAATAGACATCGAGCAGAAGGGGGTTCTAGTGATAGTGTGATGAGCAGCTTCTATATAAATAAGCTTCAAGTGAAAAGAAAGGCATCTTCTTAAGAGAAGGAAGAGAGAGAGAGAGAGAGAGAGAGGGGGGGGGGGTTCAGGGTGGAACAGCTCCCCAGTATAGGTTTTGTTTTCGTATATATATGAAGACCAAACACAACACCCACCCTGTACTGTCTCCATCCAAGATACAGTATACTTGGTAGTTAACAGGACAAGAAGCCTTACTCACTTTCATCACAGCATGGATACACTTACCAATTCCTTGATGACATAGGGTTTGATTTCAAAAGCTCTGTTCTCAGACCCTCAAAATTTTTACACTGTTTCAGTTATCTAAGCACTTTTAATGCTCCAAAGCTTCTTGTCTTCAAACCTTACCCAAATTAGACTCTAGTAAGTAGCAATGTCGTGTCTACATACCCTTCTAACCTTAAGCCAGCCACAAACTTCTGGGATATGAAATTTATCAAATCACTTAAAAATACTAGGAATCTGGATCGTAGGGATACATCATGGGAAAAGAATGTCATTTCTGAGCTTTATGTATTGAAGTTTCTCCTTAAGACATTCAGTCTTCTTGCTTTGTTTCCCTTTTATCTAGTTCTTATTCTAGGGGAAAAAGTAAAGTGTTAATTGTAGTCAATTAAAGTATATGATTTTCCTTTTACTTTTTTGTTTTGAATCTATGACTTCAAATTTTTGACGCTGATGCTAATTTCTTACTACAATGAAATTTGGTCAGTGTAACAGGCTTTCATTGGAGACTAAACTGTTTCTTCTATTTAATTATGTATTTTATTTTATGTTGAATTGTAACAGGGAAGTTACTGGGATGTTTCTTTGGAAAGTGCTCTGGTAGTATTCGTTCCATAACCAGACACCCTGAGCACTCTGTCATAGCATCATGTGGTAATTACTTGATTTATTTTTGTTCATTTATTGATCAAATTATGTCTTATCTAGCTATATTTTTTTTATCATTAATAATTTTCTTTTAGACGTGAAAGAGGTGGGGTTAACTGTTTTATTTCATGTATATATAACTGCAATTTTAGCTAAAAGCGAAGGATGAGGTGCCTCCTCATTTCGGATCTAAGATGACCTTTGATTGCTGTTTGTAGAACTTCTCTTGTATTGATATTTTCCTTTCTGAATCAGGGTTGGACAGTTACGTGCGCTTTTGGGATATTAATTCTAGGCAGCTTCTTTCTGCAGTAAGTTCTTTGTTGCCAATTAAATGATTGTCTTTAGGAGTTTCTGTGACTAATTTCACACATCACAGATTTTCAACACTGTATGAAATTTCTAACTATTACTCCCAATGGGTTCATTAAATTATTAAATGTTCTTCGTATTCCAATCTTATTTCCCTGAATCTATGCATACAAGTTGATGTCTCCCTACAAAAATGCAAGATCTGTGATGTGGTGTGTTTTGGAGGGAAAATTGGGGAACTAAGCTCAAAGTATAAGTGTTGATGTTCTTGCTCATTTGATTTGTATTTACTTGCACAACGGCTGCTTTTTAGCTACTCAAGCAGTTTTGCGTTAGAGATGCTCTATTATTGAAGTTAAATTATGCTTTCTTCAGCTTGCGTAGCCTAATATATACAAGGATACAATGAAAATGTTGGTCATTTATGTGATTTCTGGGGAAATAGTTGTGTAAAAACAAATTGGCTGGGGGCCCTCTGAAGCTGTAACTTGATTTGATTCTTCTGAAATGACTGTGCTAATATGTGCTGAAGAGGCTTTTTGTTTTAGACCAACTGTAACTTGAGCAGTTAAGAAAACCAATTTCTGTTTACTTTGTGCCTGTGTGGATTGTCTTAGTTTGTACTTATATAAGCAGAGATTAAAAAGTGATATTCTTATTGTGGTCAATTAAAATGCAACATCAGAATAGCATTGTCTTTCACTTGTACTGTAGTAGAGTGTAAAAAGTGGATTCATAAGTTGGTTGGTTGGATTGAGTTGTGACTGAAAAAGTATGACTATCTTATCATGGTGATCAAATGTTTCCTATTATAAACTGTAGTTCAGTTTTGGCATCAAAATTCTAATATAATTGCACCTTAAATGTTCAAATGGCTTCTTAATTTTTACTGGTATATTTGATTATCAAGTTCATAAGTGGATTCATAAGCTGGTTCTTGTTCTTTGCATAATTTGCAACTCTTGCTGCCTCTTATGAAAATAATTACGTAGCAAACATTACACAAGTGTCCTCCATCAGAATGTTTAGCTTTCAATAAAGTGTAAATATATCAGTTGCAATTATGACTGTGTCTAGCTATGGAGTTGTTTCTCTGCGCTATACTACACATCATGTCCTAGTAAATTTGGAAATGGAGAAAGTTCTTATCTAGTACCTTTACCAGGTTGATTGTATTGCATTGCAGTTATTCTTTTTTAACTTCTATATTTGCCACATATCTGAAACATTGTTTTCCATTTGTAATGCTGGTGCAGGTGTTTTTAAAGCAGCATTTGACAAATGTGGTATTTGATTCAAATTTTTCCGATGAAGGTTAGTTAGTTCATTTCTTCAATTCCACCTTTTGATGCCTCTCAATATGGATTAGTATATATTATAGAAATTTTCATGAACTTGAGGAGAAACTCGTTACATGAAAGTGAGATGATTATTTTACATGTATTTAAGTGCTATTGTTTTTTTTGTTGCTGCCTTGATTTTTCTATGGGAGGATAAATTTCAACATCTAAATAAAGAAAATGTTATTCAAAAAAATAAAAAAATAAAAATAAAAATAAAAATAAATAAATAAATAAAGAAAATGTTACAAGGTTACTTTCTCTATTTTCCATATTTATTATTATGTCTTTCTTACCTATTCTTCTATTCTTTGACCTTTAATTGTGCATGTGATATCAATTAATTTTTTAATGGTCATACACTCATTACATGAGATTTTCAATGCAACTTTGACACAGTATCCGCTTAAACCAGTTACAGTGCATTTCTTTCTCACTTTGCTATGAATCTTTGAACCGTTTTATAGTTGTCAGAGCCAGTGTTCTCACAAGAGTCATGAACCATTCTGAGTCTTAGTCCTAGTCCTAGTCCCAGTCCCAGTCCCAGTCCCAGTCCGAATTCCCTGGACCTGTTAGAGGAGAGATCTATTCTACTATATAGTTTTATTACAGAATTGTACATGTGTACAATTCTAGATACTGAGATATTGATATTGATTCACATAAGGATGCATAAATTAGTCCATTTCTTGCATTGCTATTGCCTCACTAAAAGATTCCTGTAATTCTATTTTCAATATTGGTAAGCCGATTAGTAATGAAGTGAAAGGATTATTTTATGCGCAATAGTGGTCTGTTTGATAGACAATAAAGAGGAAAAAGGCTTCTAAAGAAAACCTCTTGGCAAAGTCTATGGTAAATTGGTAATACAATTTCAATTTTGTGTATCTCATAAATGTCATCTCTAGTCCATGACACATTTGAAGGTTTTGGTATGCATTGGGAAATTCAAGAAGAAAAACACAATTATTCCAGAGCAAAGTTGAAATACTGATAATCACATTATTTCTCTCACAAACTTGCATACTTCTTCATCTGTAAATGTAGTGTGTGTGTGTGAAAGAACTTAATCATGCAGCCCCTCATCCTTTTGCTTATCTGATGAAACAATTGGCTTTTCTCTTCATTATTAGGTATCCTTTTGAGTAATTAGTAGTTTGTATTTGTTGAAATAAACTAGTATTGATGGAATGATCAATATTTGGACAGAAGCAACAATTGCTACAGATTCACATATAGATGAGATTCAAGTTATTAGTAATGAGGAGCAATATCAAAATGAAGAAGATGCACTGCCAGTAAAGAGAAAAAAGGCTTCCAAAGAAAAAAGTGAGGCCAAGAAAAAATCCAAGAAAGTGAAGAAAGTTAAGGATGAGGTTCGTGTTGAAGAGTAATATCATGGTCCCTGGAAAGATATATTCTGAGATATCATACTCTCCAGGTGCATCCTTTTTTGCTAGGTTACAAATATTAAGATGTAAGGGTTTTTGTTGTACCAGTAGAGTATTTTTTTTTTTTTTTAAAGTTTTATCTATATATTATATATTTTTTTGGTTAAAGAAAGAACAACTAATGTAAAATGACTCCCTCCATTAACGAGTGATGATAATACATGTTCATTAGTCCAATTCAGGTGCAAATTTGTAATTTGGAGTTTTCTAATTAATTAGGATGTCTTAGAGAGAAATAAAAACACCTAGAAGTATATATAAGCCAAACTAAATAAATAAATTTTCATCTTAAGAAAAAGATTTTAATGATCAGGTACATGAAATGATAACTGTTTTATTCTTTTTTATTTTTTTGGGCAAAAAACTGCTACTCTGTTTTATAATAATTGATACACCATAGTCCATACTATACATCAGAGCTAATAGCTAGACTCTAGGTTCACTATGACTTGTCCCTCGTTAAGAAATGAGCATTTCTAATTGAGCATATTTTACAATAATTTTGCACTTTTCAATAATTAAATGTTCATTTTCAGGTAGTATGATGTTCATTTTTATGTGTAAATGTTCATTTTCATGCATTATGATGTTCATTCTTCTAAAATAATTTTTTTTTAATTCATACAAATTTTTGTGTTTGTTTAGTTGTATAAAATGTTCGTTTTTATAATAAAGGATGTTCAATTAATATTAGCATTGACAACGTTAGACGTTAGCATTTTGTTTGTTATTAAAAAACATATTGTTGATTTATTTTATTGGTATTAAAACATATACTTTAGCAAATTGCAAGATATTTATTCAAGAGAATTTAACAAATCAAGGTTTTATTTGAAGTTTAAATAATGTTGATGAATAAGCAACAACATAATATGTTCATTTTATTTGCAACTGAAATGTTCAGTTATATAATATTGGATGTACATTTTTTTTTTTTTTCAGTTTTATAGTCTCTTTAGTTTACTTTTATATTATAAATGTTCATTTTTATATATTAAAATATTCAATTACCAAGTTAATATATATTTTTTTTTCTTTTTTGCTTGCACAGGACTAGCCTACTATGGCTTGTCGCAAGTCCAGCTAAAAGTTTGCGACGATACGATGTTTAAGAAAATAGTATAGAGTATGTAGGAATAAGATTATATAGAGTATGTAGGAATAAGATTATTCAATGTTTGCTACTGTTTGTGAAAGTCTTTTAGATTTTGCTTAGGTGGAAGTTTTATGAATATAGGTTGATATATAAATACCATAGCTCCATGACTTCGAAAGATAACGTTATCCTATTTGGTATTGTTGATTGTTTTTACTTTTCTGCTTTTAAAAAGAAAAACACTATAAGTAGGAAACAAGAAAAATGTGTTTTTAATTTTTAGTTGTCAGTTTTCAAAAGTATCACTTCCTCCATTCTATTATTATTATCGTAACAATAGACTTTTTGCACTATTTACCACTCTTGTTTGACCATATAATATGATTTATACATTATGCAAAATATAGTCATGTGGGATTTTATTGGATTCGTCTCATAAAATACTTTCACAGTATCAACATTTTACAATTTTTACACTTACACAATTTTAGATATTTAGCATATAAAATGTGCTTTGAAATGCGTAATTTCATCCATGTTATAATATTAATAGAACGGAGGAAGTATGATTTTAACAAGTTTGACTAATTTTTCATTCATTCTATGACATATTATATAATTAAAAAAAAAAAAAAATCAAAACTACAACGATTCCAAACTGTAGATACCTAAAAATGCCTTCCCAAAGTCAAATCCGATGATGAGCAACCTTACTGCCATTATTGTCTGAGTTGAGTATTTAATCTTTGGAGTGCTTAAATCCATATTCAATCCAAAATATTTCATAAACTAACCCAATTTTTAGCCCATTTCCCCAAACCATAACTTATCTAACTCTTTCCGTGTCCACATTACAAAATCGAGCTAATCTGATTTTGTGGTTCTATAATTTTGATCCAAATATTATTTGGTTGGATAGGCCTTGAAATAAGCTTTCCAACGGTATATCATAAGTCTAATTCCGAATTAAAACGAAGAAAGTATGAGTAAACCACTAAACTCAGTGCAAAACATACACCCTTTCACTAAAACGACCATATCTTAAAAAATAATTTATTTTTACCTGATTCTAATTGAGTTGGAGAGTAGACTTGATAAGCTTTCCAACGATATATTATATGTCTTATTCATGCCTTATCCGAGTTATGGATCAAAAGTTGTCAAAGTTTTAAAAATGCGTAAAAATTAGAATTTGCCGTGCCACGACAATTTCTGCCGTGACACTGCAAATGCCAGCGTGGCATGGAAAATTTGCCGTGACACGGTATTTTTCAAGGGTTTTTACCACGGCTCTTTTCACTTCTAGGGTTCCGTGCTTCACCCTACTCTTTTTCTCTGTAAATACAAAGCTGATTTCTTCAGTTTCAGGCACCAACAATCACTCTCTTCTCTCTCTTTAGCCTAAACACTAGCTTCCCTATTCTCTCACAATACTTCCCCTAAGCACTCTAAGGAGTCAATACTTGACCCAAAGTTCTATACTTAAATCAACGCGTGAAAGGTATAATTAACTAAGGGATTGGACCAAATCAACTTTACTTTTTATTCAATTTAATTGTTTCAATTTGATTTATATTATTGAAGTTACTAATAATTTAGTCATGATATAATTAACAATTTAAAGAAGCGCGGAACGTGAGTAATTAATTTTTTTTTTTGAAACCACATTAATTTACTTAATTACTCTTAGTTTTATTCTTGTTGCTAGCTAGTATCATGATTAGGGTTATTATTATGATTTGATTTGACTAACGTTATTATGGTTAAATTCTTCCAATGTTGATGTTTATTCTATTCTTATTATTGATCGCCATATTGCATATTTAAAGGGAATATGTAATTGAACAAATCGCATAATAAAATAATTTGGACGACCGGTTTAGACTCCTTTTTAATCTTGTTGTTTAATCAAATGATCACTAATAATTAGAATTATATGTGCATTAATATTCAACCAATATAGCCTAATATTAGTTTGGAGTAAATTAAATCTTTGTTTATAGGCCTTTGAGATCGTAGGAAATACTTTTCCCAATAAGAATCGAGTAGAGGTCAATACGGGGAATGTGATTCCATGAGTCACTTCATACCATCATCCCCAATCCTCCTTTAATTTTGTGGTTCCGAATCATATGAAGTTAGTAATCTCATGGATTATGAATGGGGTGTTACTTTTACGGGTCAATCATTGTTGCCTATTGTTGTCCCTTATCATGGTTGCCTTTTAAATGATCTATGAACGGTTTATAAGTTTCTTAAAAACTTGTTGGTGGCTCCTTACATTTCTGTCCCTAATCGTTGTCCGTAATCGTATATGTCAATTTCCATTTCTTGTGAGTGCCAAGAATATTCACAACATGCTTACGTAGGCACGCTTCGAATGACGCCTACACAAACGAATCCTATAAACATTTTTTTTGTTTATCCGCTATAAACGGACGTTTGCTGGATAAATGTTATTGCATATTGTCTCATGATGTAAATAGTACCCTAAATGTTTATCTTTGTTACAAACTTGAATTTTCTTCTTTTATCCTTATCACCCTAACCCCCCTTGGAAATTTATTATATACACCCGGTGCACGTGCACCCAACTACTAACCAACACAAGGTAAGTTTTTGCTTCACTTGGTGATTAAATTAAAAACAATCATCAAATTTAGAACAAAATACTCATGTATGACTGAGTGCACCGTGCGTGTATATAACAATCTCTCATTATTTCCATTCTTTGTTCACAATTTTGCATATCAATAAACTCATTCTAATATTTCTTCTTCACATATTAATTCTTGACAAAGATATTTTCATGGCCCAATTAACCGTATTGGTATAAAATTAGCAATTTACGAAAACGAACTATTGGTATAAAAGATAGCAAGCGACGACTTTTACCCTTTTTTCTAACCAGAATAATAAGCACAGTTGTACGCATGATTTATTCTTATTCTTGTAACTTTATTCTATGATTTTTTTTTTTTTTTTTTTTTTTTTGTAATTTTCTTGCTTCAAGTATTCATTGAATATTTTTTCAACAATATTATAAGCGAGAAAAAGCCAAAGAATAAAAAAAAGGAAAAAGGGAAGGAAATATAAGAATAGAGGAATAATTAAGATTATGCATAGAAATTAATCGAGAAATTCAAGATTAAGCTTTTATTACATGTATTCCAGATAACATTGAGCTTTCAATTTTTTGCAATATTCAACATTATATAAATAATTTTCTCCAACTACTTAATTATTAATTTAACACGCCAGTTTCAACTTTTGAGGCATTAAATTATTTTTTGAGATTTTTGTTTAATTTTACAAATTGTTTTGTTTTAATTTGCCAATAATTTTAGGTGCTTGGATGTGGAGGAGAGAATTATTTATCGTTAATAATGAGTATTAACAACAATGATTTTTTTTCAAAAATTAAAACTAAACTAATAATTAAGCACTTACTTCGGAAAGATAAATGTCGCATCTTGTTCATTTTTATACCAATATGTCATTGTTTGTTAACTTTTATATCAATTTATTGCCGGTGCTAATTTTTATACCAATATGTCACCAAGGTGCTAACTTTTATACCAATATGGTCAATTGACCGATTTTCATGAAACTCTGAATTTTTTTTCACCCCTCTTAAGGGCCTTGTTTGGCAAAGCTAGCGGTATAGTGGGTAGCTTTTAGCGTTCGAGTACAGTAGCAAGTAGTTGTTAAGGTAGCGACTAAGCTAATTGTCAATAGTAGTGGGTAAAGGTAAGTTGTAGTGTGTTTGGCAAAAATAGCAGTTGCATTACTAAATTATATTAATAATAATTTAAATTGTTATAAAAAAAATTAACCAAAACTTAACAAACGCTACCTACTACTCTTAATTAAACACTATTATTTTTAACGTATGAGAAAAGCTATATAAATGATACCTTTATCGCTACTCACACCACTACCTTGGCAACCACTCATATTTATTCCTAGTAGTGTTTTGACTAGTTAAAACGCTAACCGCTACCTCAAACGCTATGACCAATTCACAGGGCTTTTTAGGCTCTGTTTAATTCGCCTTAAAAAAATAATATTCAATTAAATTAGTTTCAGTTCAGTAAAATTAATTTTTATGTAGTAATTTTTTTATGCAGTAATGTTTATGCAATATTTTTTTTTTATTTGTAAAATGTAAATTTTTTTGAGAGAATTAGAGAAGAGTGACAAGCTCAAGTCGTATTCACCAAATCAAAAATAAAACCTAAATCCACTAACTACGTAGATAGGGAAGAATGGTCGAACCATAGGGAAACAAGTCAACTTATTCCTAATTAATTAAAAGCAATCTAAATTATCAAGTAACCAAATTATTATTAAAAGGGTAATTAAACTACTAAAAGTAAGAGTAGGAAGGAATAAAAGTAAGAGGTAAATCAATGAAAGAAAAGCCTAGGGCATAGGTTCACCAATAAACATTATTCCAGGGTAAATCATAATAAGCAATCATCAATGCATCAATTAATTAGATTATAAAGGGCTTTCGCTACGTATTACAATCACAAAGTTAATTTACCGGTATTAAATCTCATCTCTCGAATCTCGACTTAACCATTTATATATTAGTCTGCCTATTGAAACTAAGCCTAAACATCAATTCTCATCTCTCGAATCAATATTGCTAAACTCATACAATTAAATATGGCCAAACCTAATTGCATATCATTAAATCAATCAGTAGGAAAATAATTAAGCATTGACAATCGACAATCACAAATTATCCCTTCATATTATTTATTGGATCCCTATAAACCCTAGACTTAAAACTACTCACGCATAATTAAATCTAAACTAATCAAAGCAATAAAACAAAACATGATGAAAAAATTAAAGAAAATAACTGAAATTAATAGAGAAGAAATCGTTACCAAAAGTAATCTGAATTAAGGAGTTGAATTAAGAACAAAGTTGAGAGAATTCTAGAGAGAGAAAAATATTCTAAGTAGAGAGAGAAAGTCCAAAAGAGAAGGTCAATAAAAATTACGTACTAAAATCGTATTTAAACATCTCTAAAACAAATCCTAATTAAAAACTAAGAACTCGACAATCAGGTGCCTCCAAAAACACGCGCCCGATCGGGCGAAGGGCCGCCTGATCGGGCCCGCTTTTTTCTTCAAGCTTCTCTTGGGCAGCCGCGCCCGATTGAG